TATGTCTGGAAATAAAACATTTTCAGTTGTATAAAAAATGCAGCAGAAATACCCTGAGTTATTAAGAACAGAAAATGCATGAAGCTACTAAGGTATTAAGGTACTTATTTCTTACTCATTCTCATCAGCTGTGGAGAACATGAATTTCTGTTAATGATTAATCCTGCTTTATGCTCTACTGCATCTATAGTGACAAAAGCTTTTGGATTTTGAATTGCTTACCTTTATTTTCTTCTGTGAATTTTTGAACATGAATACGACTTGCAGTTTAATGGTATTTACTGATAGTCACTTTCTAGCTTAAATGATTATTTTACTTTTCCCTTACTAAGTGGATGCTTTTAACCTCTCATGGTCATGTATGCTAAATAAGAAACAGTGCATTAAAGCTGACTATACAGTAGCTCCAGTAAGAAAGAAATAGGAAGGTATCCGGCTTCAAAATAGGAGTAAGAAACAGAAGCTCAGACAGACAAGCTGCATAAAGACTAAAATACAAAATAAGGTACAACTAATTTTAAATGATGTCATTAAAACAAAATAAAATCACTATCTAGCATCACTGAAAGACTATGCTTTTTACAATGTAAAAACATGCAGTAAAAGAAAATCTGTTTCGCTAATTTGCTTCCTTCTGAACTAAGGAGCAAAAAGCCTATATTGTACAATAATCTGCTTGAAGTAACCCTCTGCCTCCATTTCTGCAGGTCAGGCATAATCTATCAATATCTCTAAGGCAGGGGTAGGCAACCTTGGTTCTTTTATGACTCGACTTCAACTCCCAGAATTCCTGAGCTAGCAGCTGGCTCAGGAATTCTGGGAGTTGAAGTCCATGAATCATAAAAGAGCCAAGGTTGCCTACCCCTGCTCTAGGGGTTTTAAATTATGGTGAACAGTCATCAATTTTCTTGTTTTTTAGTCCTAACTGTCCAGTTCAACTTGTGTCCAGTTAATATAATTATTATTTATTAAACTGAAATTCCACCCAACACCAGTGACTCTGGATAGTTTACAAATTGTTAAAAACATTTAAAAACAAGCAACAGAACAAAACAAAGAAAAATATGGAAGGAAAATAAACCAAGAGGGGAAAGGAAGGAAGAAAGGGGCATCCTCTCCAAATATTTGTGCGAAGAGCCAGGTCTTTAAGGCCCTTTGAAATACCAATGGGTGGGACTACTTGAATTTTGGGAGAAGACCTCATTCCAGAGGACAGGCACTGGTAACAAAGAAGGCATGCTTCTGAGCTCCAGACATTGTTTAATCAATGGAACATGGAGCATGCTAACCAACCAGTTTGAACAGGCCAGGCATGTACAATCCTGTGAGTGCTATGAGTCCAGGAAGAACCCCAAATTGTGCGTCACTCTTGAATGGGAGAGTTCCACGCCATCCTCAGTCAAAATTGGAGTATCCCCAGATGCATGCATTCAAATACGCACAGCACTCAGTAGGTCTAAGTCAGTGGCAGTGGCTTCCTCATCCAAACCCATACAGTCTCTAGGCACTGGGACATACTGTAACTTGATAGCATTACTTGGCCAGCTCAAAGTCTGAAGACATAATTGGATATCATCAGCATACTGATGATACCAAACCCCAAACCGGCAGATGGACTCACCCAGCGGTTTCATGTAGATGTTGAAAAGGAGGGGAAAGAGAAAAGAACCTTGAGGCAACCACAAAGGAGAGTCCCAGGGGACGATCTCTCCCCGCCAACCAACACTGACTGGAACTGGCCCTGGAGAAAATAAGAGAACCACTATAACACACTGCTCCCAATTCCCAACCCATGGAGCCGGCTCAGAAGAATAGAGTGGTTTACGGTATTGAAAGCCACCAATAAACCTAATAATATAGTAATGACATGGTATACAAAGCTAACTAGATTGCTGAATCAGGCACTGGAAGCAAAGAGTGTTAAATGCCAATGCATCACTCATCAGTTATATAGCCAAAGAAAATATAACTATTTAGGAGCAAGAATCCTGCACATACTCTGAACTCTTTTTATGTATTACCTTTTCACATGATTCAGTGCTATCCTAATAATAAATTCTTGGAATGAACAAACACAATGCAACCAGGGATTGTAAAAGCTACAGAAAAACATGCTGAAAGTGCTATTTATGCATGTACTTATTTTAGCGCAGTACAACTGAACTATTATGGAACATTCTTTGTAGACCTATATATGAAACAAACCATCATAGTGTGAAAAGACATTATTTGATTAGTGGCCCTATGACAGCTATGTACTTTTATGATCTAAATAAAAATCTAAAGAAAAATCTAAAGAAAAATATTACAGAATATAGCAATTCTAAGACTTCATATATATTAGAACTAAACTGGTTAACTATCCTCCAAATGACCATTACTTAAACGGCCTAAATGAAATAACAAAATTCTAAACAAAAGGGATGAATTATTACATTATTATTAATAACAGTGTTGGAGGGGACCTTGGAGGTCTTCTAGTCCAATCCCCTGATCAGGCAGGAAACCCTATACCATTTCAATCAAATGGTTGTCCAATCTCTTCTTAAAAACTTCCAGTCTTGGAGTATTCACACCTTCTGGAAAAAGGTTGTTTCACTGATTACTTGTTCTAACTCTCAGGAAATTTCTCCTTAGTTCTAGGTTGCTTCTCTCCTTGAATTAGTTTCCATCCATTGCTTCTTGTCCTGTCCTCAGGTGCTTTAGACAATAGCTTGACTCCCTCTTCTTTGTGGCAACCCCTGAGATATTGGAACACTGCTATTATGTTATTCCCAGTCCTTCTTTTCATTAAACTAGACATATCCAATTCTAACAACTGTTCTTTATATGTTTTAGTCTCCAATCTCCTAACTATCTTTGTTGCTCTTCTCTTCACTCTTTCTAGAGTCTCAACATCTTTTTTACATTGTGGTGACCAAAACTGGATACAATATTCCAAGTGTGGTCTTACCAAGGCATTATAAAGTGGTATTAATCCTTCACATGATCTTAATTCTATCCCTCTGTTAATGCAGCCTAGAATTGCATTGGCTTTTTTTGGCAGCTGATAAAATTTAACTGATTGTACACCGATTGTACACTAGAACTCCCTCTCACAATTACTACAATTGAGCCAGGTATCACCTATACTATACCTGTGCATTTGGTTTTTCTTGTCTAAATGTAGAACCTTACATTTTTCATCACTGAATTTCATTTTGTTAGTGCCCAATGTTCAAGTCTGTCAAGATCCTTCTGTCTCTTAAGCCTATCTTCCAGAACGTTGACTATTTCTGCCAGCTTGGTATCATCTGCAAATTTGATGAGTTCCCCATTAACCCCCTCATCTAAATTATTGATGAAGACGTTGAAGAGTACTGGGCCTAAAACCGCCTTGAGGTCACCCACTGCATACTTCCCTCCATATAGATGCAGTTCCATTGAGGACTACACGTTGAGTGTGGTTGGTCAGCCGGTTAAGAATCCATCTAGTGGTTAAGCTGTCTAACCCACATTTTTCTATGTTATCAAGTAGTAGATGTGTCTACTTTATCAAATGCCTTACTGAAGTCCAAGTAAATTATATCCATAATTTTATGATTAATGGGCTTATTAATCATAAAAATCAAATTGCTGGACTCAAGGTAGATTGACAACACCACTGGTAATACTCTCTGGAGCTTCTCAATTGATTTCTCTTGGTTAGGAAGTTTCTTAGATTTCCTTTCTGCACTCCAAGGAATTAAAAAATCTTAGAAATTTCAACTTATTTCTTTTTCCCACTTCTTTCACAGAGTCCGACTCAATAAGTTCTTGGGATGCTTAGTATCAGCTGCAAGAAGAACAAGATCTAGATATAAATGGTATTATATACAAATGTATAAATACTTTGTGGATAATCTATATATTATGGAAATGGTCCTGTTTGTAAACTTCAGTTGGGCAAAATGGTGCATCACAGGGCAATATTTTTTTTAAATCTTCCTCCCTAACCCTCTTAGTGCAATCACAGACTTCTTCCTCCCTTCCATTAGGCTTGCTACCACCCTCAAGGAGTGCTTCCTCAAACCCCATGGTACACCAAGCAGCCCTATTGCCACAATGCGCCTAGCAGTCCCATTGTCAGAGTGTGCCAAAAAGCCCCAGAACTGTGGTATACCAAGAAGCGCCATACCTGTACAGCTCTGGGCTGCTTGCCATGCGTCAGCAAAAGGACTTCTTGGCATGCTGAAATTCTGGGGCAGTAAGTACACACACACACACACACACACACACACACACACCAATTTATTTTCCTATCTAAATACAATTGCCATATGTTAGTTTATAATTCAAGTAAGTTTTCCAAAGGTGCATGATTTTATTAAAAAAAAGTATGCTGCTGCTTTATAATGAATAGCATGAAATTAAAAACAATGAGATATCTTCCAGGGGATGCCGAAGATTTGTATTAATGTACAGTAGCCCTAGACATACTTCCACAATTGATCCCAGAATGGTTATAAGTCATTGCAGATGTAAGTCGAGATACCCACATGACTGGAAGCAATTTTCTGGCCTTTTTTGCGACAGCCATTAAGCAAACACTGCAATTGTTAAATAAACATTGCTGGCATTTGAATGGGTAGTTCTGGGGAAAACTGGCAAAAAAACATTTAACCACAGAATTCTACAATTCTAAAGCTGACCCACCCAGCTTGTGGTCTGGGGGACTGGGGGAGGGCAGTGGTAAAATCATTTACGATGGCCCAAGGCACTTTACAGGCCATTAAGCATCTTTCCTGTGGTTGTCATAACTGTCACAACAGTTGCAAAATGACAAGTTGTTAATCAAGAATACCTATAAACTCTTTCCCCCTGCTTTTAATCACTGGAATCAAAACAGAAAAATTTCTAGTGCCTATTTGTTATTTCTCATTTGCCACAAATCCTTTCTTGGCTTTTGGATAGTCATAAATCTATCACATTTTCAAAATATCACTTTGATAGTGAAAGAAAAGAAAAACAAACAAGGTTACCTGTAGCCAAAGCTTATTTCCTTGAACAGTTCTACCATTGGCGGTGCAATGAAAAGTAGCAAACTGGCCAGCATTGACTTCTACACTCTGGAGGCGCAGGAAATGGGGTGTGCTGGCTGTTTAAAATAAAGAGGCAAAGGGAGAGTCATATTATTAGCAATAGCACTTAAACTTATATACCGCTCCATAGTGCTTTACAGCACTCTCTGAGCAGTTTACAATGTCAGCATATTGCCCTCAAAAATCTGGGTCTCATTTTATTGACCTTGGAAAGATGGAAGGCATAGTCAACTTCAAGCTCGTCAGGATTGAACTCCAGAGTGCAGGCAGAGATAACCTGCAATATTGCATTCTAACACTATGCCACCAGTGCTCCTATTAGTCCCACATTATTCTAATTATTTTTTCAGATTCAATTTTTCAAAGAACTGCTTTCACAGAATAGTAAAGTTGGAATGAGCCATTCAGATTTCAGTAAAAGAATTCAAATCTTACTTTGTTTTAAACATCTGAATAACATATTTATATTGTAAGCCAAGAAATCTCAACAAAAATTAATTTTAAAATATTTATTTCTAATTATTCATAATAATCAATTATTAGAATATTTTCTTGATCACTCTTGTTATATACCTCAAAGAAAGGTAGTTTATGTAGAGATAAATTATGGAGTAAGTAAAATCAAGCCTTCTTCAAATTGAGTTCAGAACCTATTGACTTCATGAACAATATGTATAGTTTTCTTGGCAAAAATATGGAATGTACTGTATTTGCCATGATCTTCCGGGATGTTTTTCAACTAATCAGTTTAGCCCACAGTCTTACAATTCACTAGGGGGCTCCCTATTAACTTCTATAAGTAGGTCTCACACTGTTTAAGTTAGGAATGCACATAAGGTCAGTCAGGAATCATTGAGGCATTTTAAAACTAATGTATTTTACGCTGGGAATGATCAGGAAATGCATGTAATATAGATTCAGTATCGACTGCATTGTTGGAACAATGCCTTTTCCTATATGTAACATGTAACTCAGTCTCCTATCATCAGCTAGCAGAGTATGTTTTTCAACAATCTTCAATGGTATTTTTGTTTAAAGAGTTCTAGGAGGGTACACGAGCCTGGCTCCAGGGAATTATAAATGCTTCTTTACGGGAGGGTGCCTTCCCCGTAGCCTTAAAGGAGGCGGTGGTGAGGCCCCTCCTTAAGAAGCCTTCCCTGGACCCAGATGTATTGGCTAACTACCGCCCGGTCTCCAACCTTCGCTTTGTGGCGAAGGTTGTTGAGAGTGTGGTTGCGCAGCAATTCCCTCGGCACCTGGAGGAAAAAGTCTATCTGGACCCACTCCAGTCGGGCTTCAGGCCGGGATACAGCACGGAAACGGCATTGGTCACGCTGGTGAATGATCTCTGGAGGGCCCGGGACAGGGGTTATTCCTCTGTCCTAGTTCTTTTGGACCTCTCAGCGGCTTTTGATACCGTGGACCACGGTATCATGCTGCGGCGCCTGGGCGAGTTGGGAGTGGGA